TGCAGTATATTTAATTTTAAATTTACTCTTTCATACTTTACATAGAAGGTGCAAATAAAACTAATACTTGAAATAATGGTTCTATGTGTATAAATTATTTTGTTTGTTGTGTATGTCTATCATTGTTTCATCTCTGATGTTTTTTCTTATAAAATTTTATATTATTGTAATCGATACTTATGCAGGATATTATAAGATAATCTTACAAAGTAAACAATGTACATATAACATTTTTAAATCTTGACTAAATAAGGCAATATTCATTATAGATACATTTACGACTTTTAAATGTATGTAGTGAATTAACAATCTAATTGCTTGTCATATTTGTTCATGCATTGCACATGTTACTTATTTCTTTAATAAATGAGTGAGATCTTTATTCTGTTTCTGAAGCATTATATCTGTCTTTTCTGCTTTGTTTGTTATATTGTCGATCAAGTCATTCTGTAAATCTATTTCTTCCGATAATCCTATTGCTAAGCCTTTCAATCTAGCTAATGAACCACTCATTTCATCTAAATTTTTTTCTAAGATCTTACTCACATTGTTACTCAAGGGTTTTGTATCTTCTGTATAATCATCTATACCATGTAATTTCAATGCTGGACTTGTATTAGCTATGTTAGTCTGTACTTGTTCTAAAGAATTAGACAATGCAGGTGATGCCATAGAGTCAGAGCTGGAAGATTCTGATAATATAGTTGATGGTATTGGTGCATCCATTGATTTTCCACTTAAATAATTTTTAAGACTTCCAAATACACTTTTTATTCCTTGAATATGCTTCTGACTAAACCTTAGAGTACTATTAATATCGTCTTGTATTACTCTATTAAATAGATGCAATGGAAAGTAAATTGAATATTAAATTATTTTCATAGTTTCGATATAAATTAATAAGTGTATGTATAATTATCATGTTAGTAACACAATTCGACAAGATGAAAGCATAAAAATAGCTCTGTATCTCAAGAGACATGTTTGACAATAAGAGATAATCACGTGATATAGTATGTTTGTTGCACTTAATTGTCATCATCACAATTAAATAACATTGACTTTAAATTACCTCTGCAGTGGCAGCTCCGATTTGCTCAGAATCTCTTAGAAGTGAGATTGACCTTTCCGATGATTTAACTGTGCGTTCCTCTATCGCCTTTTTTCGTTGTAATAATTGTTGATGCTTTTGTTGGAGTTCATCATCATAGTTGCTATAATGATTGTAAGGCGTACGACCAGATGGTCTTGCACTTTTTAGAAATGTCTCGTCGTCGATGTCATCTTGCAGCGAGAATAACGAATTTGTCGGATCACTTAGATAATTGTGACTTGCCATTTCGTCGATCTTCGCACACTAAACGATTTCTTTATCAGAAAACTGTTACAAAGTTGAATTGAACGGGGTCAAAACGGGGTTAAAGCAGTGATGGCCAAACACTAGGTTAAAGTTGTTCGACGCGCACGGATCTGTTCCAAGTTCCAATCGTTCCAATCTGTTTTTTGACATTAATTCCCATTCCCAGATCTAGACACGAGGCACGAGGCACGAGGGGTGTGAAGCTGCTTTCGGGGTGAGGAGAGAATACAGTCACATGGTTTGTGGTGCGCGTTAATAGTTGGTTTTAACATAAAAGCGCGAAAGTTCATATTGCACATTGAACTTTATTACTTGTATTACTATATAA